ATACAGGCATGTTTTCGTTACTGCTGAGCAGTGCTGACACAGAGCCAAGGCCTTTTCTGCTTCCCACCCCACCCCACCAGCGAGCAGGCTGGGGGTGCACAAGAAGTTGGGAGGGGACACAGCCGGGACAGCTGACCCCAACTGGCCCAAGGGATATTCCACACCATATGACGTCATGCTCAGCATATAAAGCTGGGGGAAGAAGGAGGAAGGGGGGGACATTCAGAGTGATGGCATTTGTCTTCCCAAGTGACCGTTACGCGTGATGGAGCCCTGCTTTCCTGGGGATGGCTGAACACCTGCCTGCCGATGGGAAGGAGTGAATGAATTCCTTGTTTTGCTTTGCTTGCGTGCGCGGCTTTTGCTTTACCTATTAAACTGTCTTTATCTGAACCCACGAGTTTTCTCACTTCTACCCTTCTGATTCTCTCCCCCATCCCACTGGTGGGGAGTGAGCAAGCGGCTGTGTGGGGCTTAGTTGCCAGCTGGGGTTAAACCATGACAAGTGAGGCACATAAGAAATGGTGCCTGCATTCCACGCGTTCTTCACTGCAGGGACAGCCGCAGCAGGAGGCAAGTTTCAACAGCAAATTAGTGCTAAAAACCTTCAGTCAAAAATTCATTTGTAAATAGTTAAATGGTTGTTTTGATGAATTACACAGAGATATTCAATCTGCTTCCATATCAACATGAAACTACACTGTTTATGACAATTTTCTTGTTCCATCAAAGCAAATTCTCTTTTCCAAACAAGTATCCTTTGTTCAACAGAACTATTAATTAGAAGTTATGCAATTCAGAAATGAAACTAAGTGGGAAATAAAATGTATTTCAGAGGCATCTGTATCCATCTAACAAGACCCAGACTGCTGTCACTGCCTATAATTGCCCAGAAGTAAATTCTTTAGTAGTTGTCATGGGCAGAAAACGTAACCGAGCAGAACACCAGAAGACAATGTATGCATTTTGGGGTTTTAATACTTAAGCTGAGACTTGCCCCAGTCCCGGAGTTACCCCAAGGCAGACCCTAGCTTACTGCTGCTGTTGAGGGTAAAAGGTGGCTGGGGGCCTTGCTGCAGGACTGCCGGGCTCCAACCTGTGGCAATTTTGACCCCCCCAATACCTGCTCCCTCACCCAGATCGCAGGACAGACAGAAGGGAGCGCAAGGAGCCCTAGAGAGCAATTAATTCTGCAAACGAACTTTGCAAACAGTGCAGGAAAGCTTTGCGGGCCACAGACTCCCAGGTCTTACTCTGGAGCTCTTGGCTTGTATCTGACTAGAAGGTGGGCTAGAGAAGAAGTGAAGATGTAAACCAGGTCATGTATGCATTTAAACTGACATTTTTGTTTCTACTTAAAACCTGCTGTTGTCTTTCCAGGAATGCATAAAACCTAGCCAAGTATTTTCTTAATATGTACACAGGCCGAATGCCAGAGATTATATATTCAACAAATACATAGAAAAATTCAGTACTGCTAGATTCTCACAGATGCTAACGTAAAGACTACATGATTTAAAAAAAAAAAATAGAAGATATTTCTGTCTTTTAACATCTCTTAACAGAAATTCATGTATGGACATTTCAGAAGGTGGAGCCTTTCAATAAGTTCTCTTGTTTTTTTAAGTTTTTCCTGGGTAACACTACTTACAGCATCCCAGAAGAGTGCAGCTACGGAGTATGAATGAAAGCGCCTCCTTCAAGTGCAGTTATGTCCCAACTCAACAATTTTAAAGCACAGTTTCTGTGGCTAACGCATTGCTGGACATCCCAGCCATCATGCATAAATTTTCTCTGTGTATACTTGCCAGGAGAGGGGCATCATAAGATGGTGGCAAACATGATATAGCAGCAGTAAATGAAAAACAAATAAAAATACCCCCCAAAAAAACTAGTGCCCGCAACAAGGATCTGCCACAGCTTTGGCTGAATTTACTTGAAGAAAAGAGATTTTTCTTTTTCTGCCCTTTAAAAATGAAATAAACAAAAAAATGCTCCAAACCACTGATAGCTTTACAATTAAAGAAGTGATACCTATAAGATGAACATGACCAACGAGGAACTGAAAATAAAACTCAATACTACTGAGCACTCCTTTGCAGGTCTGGGAGCAGATTATCCAACAAACTCCCAAAATCAGAATTATTTCTGAACAAGAATTAGGAGGACAAAAACTAATGTACCAAAATGGGATTATTCTAATCATGTTGGATATAACCTGAAAGCTATTAAAATGGTTGATTTTACAGTCTGGTTTTCTGTACTGACACTAGGCAATATGGTGGTGCTAGAAGGGATGGTCATTCTAGCTAATTTTTGTAATTCAGCTGTGACAATGAGACTATTTTTGAAAACCTAGGAAGGCAGGCAGGCAGGGGGAAAATGTAAAGCAAAAATTCAGTCAAGACTACATTAGGACAGAAAGTAATCAGCTGACCTGTGGATAGAAACACATCAGGTTCGATATTTATGCCAGGCTGTATTATCCCAATAGCCAAGAAACCTAAATAGTACATTGACACTACATCATCTATATTGTAAATCTGTAACCGTATCTTCTGATGGCAGATGGAAACTATTCTAACTTCATTTTTACACTCTCAGCAGAAATAAGAATACAGCTTGTTATTATACAACTGTGTGCAATTTACTTCACACAAACATGCACACACACTTTCTTTTCGGCGAGGCTCTTCGGTTTAAGGTGACAGTGCTCAGTCCCTCTGTCTTCCTACAAACCGCCTTTTTAAAAAGTGCAAAGTGCACCTCAGCAAAGAGTTTGGCTCTGAAAAAATGACCACTCCCTGAGGAAGAACTGTCTCTAGATGAAAAAGGTATCTGAAAATGATGAGACTGGAATTTCTACTGAGAAGCAAGATCAGTAGGGAAAAGGATGAAAAAAAAGGATGAAAAAAAGTGAGGTGATCAAAACAAGAGAAGTGGAAGAAAAGAAAGCAGCTGTATAAAACCACATCATCAATAGGAGGTTGCAGAATAACAGCTATTCAGGGCCTAACAACCGGAAAGAGCGTGCACATGTTTCTTCATGGAACGAAGAATTGAAAATATGACTTCCAATGCTGACATTTTACTTCAAAGCAGACCAAGGTAAATGCACCATGGTACTTGGGTGAGCTCGGATGGTTTGATTTAAATCCCCTCCTTCTAATGATGCAGATTTATTTGAACTGGAACCCTTCTTTGGGGTGGGCTACAAATTTTTTAACAAGTTCTTCCTTAAATCCTTCAAGGCTACAAATTCCTCCTTATTCTTTCCCAATGAGTATTTACATTTTTGACACAAAATAGAGCAGCTCCATTAGAGGAAGATGACCACCACAAATATTTAGCACTGCCATCAGGGCACATCCAAGAGAGCAAAAAATGACAGGCCAACACACTGCAGGTACAGGAGTAGAAGCTGAACCTCTGGGAGACCTTCCACATTTCTGCAATTTGGTAGCACACTATACTTCAGGTTTTGTCAACCTAGAGCCAATTTTTGTTCCAACTATAAACAGTGGTAAATTTGAACCGAATATGATGAACAGTTTTAGGGTGACCAAAGCACTTTCTTTATTTGCAAGCAATCAGCTGCATATCCTTACTTAATCGCCCCATTTCCAGTAAGGAAACCCTCCAAAAAGTATTGATAGGACGAGTTATCCTTCCCTGCACTCACTATAACACAGTCAGTTTGTAAGTTGCCCAGAAGAAATCATTACTTTACTTCAAAAGTAATGGTGACTTTCAAAACAATCCATTTCAAAAGCAAGATGTTACTTTTCATTCACAGAAAGCCGCCTTTGAGAATTTACATTCTCCTTTCATTTGTGTTCCAAGAGAAACTTAAATCCAAGTTTATTTCCTTCCAGTTATACTTTTTATCTGGATTCTGAGAGGATTTGCTGCCTTAGAAAATGTGTACTTGGCTCTGTTTGGGGTTTTATTTTGATGTATAATGAAATCAAAATTGGAGGCAACGGATCCCTGAACAGGAACCACAGTCACAGATCAGGAATCGCTTCTCTGTGTAAGGCAGAAAAAAAATGTTTATTCCTATTGAGTTTCAGGGTTCAGCACACATAGCAGGACTCTTGAATTCTGTCTGGTGTTTGCACAAAAAAAAAAAGTCCCATATAGCAAGAGGTGAAACTCTTTCTTTTCTACTCCAACAACCACATTAGAGAGCCCAGTTAAAACATTCCTTGACACAGTCAAAACTTGGCTTTCTTCTGAAGCATAAACATTACCATGTTTAACCTAGTCCTTGAGTCAGATGATCGGTGTGCGCCGCCTAAAGCTCTGGTCTGGTTCAAGGACACTGCTAAAGCACAGCGATGCTAGGTGACTGCTGCCATGAACAAACAGCTCCTCTTTCCACTGCTCACTGTGCAACGCAAAAGGACCGCTCAAACACTAACGAGCTGGAGAGCCGTTTTCTTTCAGTTCACTCCAGCTACTATTCTACATTTTCTTTCTCTCCCCTCAACATGCACCCGTGTCAAAAGAAATTACCCTTTCTTTTTACTCAAAGAATGGTTTCTGATTGCCCCCAAGCATATGGAAGGCTTTAACATCAAAAATATTTGCACATGAGAAATTTCACTTTCTCCCAGTTTAAACATTAAGGGTTTTCTTCCTGCTTCTGAACTACAAAAAAACTAATAGTAATAAAAATCAAATATATTGTAGTTACTGATGAGAATTGTCTAAACAGCCAGACTAGTTATAAACAGTCAGCGATGACAGACTACCATATGTTAAGCTTCCCATTATCGTGCCAGAAAACATTATAATCACCTTAATTACAGCAACAGTGATTTTTCCCCTCATGACGATGTAATGCAAGAAAGTGCAGCTTCTTCTGCTGAGTATTGCTGTCTATAGCAAAGGTGAGCATATGCACATACTGTCAAGCATTTGTGCAAACAGATCAAGTTGCCAAGTATGCAGCTAACCTAAAGGGTCTCAAAAGGGGGAAAGCAAGCAAACTTTACCTTGTGTGTTTTGTTGAAATACTCTGTTCAGATCCAAAGAGGAAGCTCTGGAATGTGATTTCTGTGGCCTTGGAGGTGGAGTAGGGGGCTCTTCTCCCTTTTTCATAGCATCTTCTATTGATGTGCTAGAATAAGACCTAAGGAGGAGGGGGGGGGCAGCAGAAAATATTTTATTTCAGAAATTCATTTTATACAACTACAGCAAATAGTACCTAAAAATGCACTGACCAGAACTCAGGTTCATGGTGGAAATTCCTTGCCCTAATGACTAGAAGTTCCCCCTTATAACAAAACAGATTTATTTGGCAACAGAGGGACCTACACGTCTGGGTGAAGGCACGGGTCATGCTTACAGGGCTAGTATTTTTTAAGGCCTTTTATATCACAGCTTCAGGCCTTCTTACATAACTTTAACTGTCAACAGGATAATCGTAGCAACTATTTTGAATAAACTTGAGTAGAAAAATTCCCCCACACACACCCCTTACAGTTTCTGTTGCCTTTCCCCACTGTGAGGGTAGTGTCTATACAGATGCAAGAAGTAGGTTGAAGCTGTAAGTACACATTCTGTAATTTATAATATTCTAACTATCAGAATAATTTTTTCATAGCAAACAGTCACCAAATTCCACAAAATCCAGAAAAACTGAATGACTCCAAAGTGATCAACACTGGTCAAATACATGTCTCAGTGCACCTTTCTAGGCCCTTCCACAACCCATTAATCCCAATGCAGTGCATTTGCTAAGAATTTTGATTTTGCTGAATAGTGTCCAATATTTTTCAGCTGTTGTAGTTACCAGTTTTTCTGCAAGACCGAGAGCTTTGTTCAAAATGAGCATTGACAATGTGAGATGTTACACTTACTGTAACACATTACGCATGACAGGCAAGACCAAAAACACATTCGAGTAGAACAGAAATAACTCCCACTAATGGGAAAGAGATCTTTTTTTGCCAAACAGGCTGTTGTTACAAAACAGCTCTTTAGCGGGACAGACATTTGGCAATGCTGATCCTACGTTTCTGATGTAAACTTTAACAAATACAGGAGTGAAAGCCATAAGTGCTTCAAAATTTACATGTGACAAAAACCTCTGCTGATGCTGAATTTTTTGTCTTGATAAGAGTTTTGAATTCCACAGCCTTACCATATCAGACCTAAGCCAGCCACCCTGAAATAAATGGGAAAGTTTTGAACCAGGATCTTAAGGTTTTATACTTTTACTTTCCATATTATGCGGTGTATATTTTACTTGCATTAAAATTGTACAACCTGACAGTTTGAGATTTTTAATTTTTTTTTTACAAGATAGCAGCTACCAGGCAGAAATATGCCTGCCCCAGCAGTGCCAACACAGAGCCCTGTGACACCAGCTACCAGCTACCAGGCAGAAATATGCCTGCCCCAGCAGTGCCAACCATGTGACAGTGAATTGTTGCTTGTGGCAGGCGGGCCTTGCACCCAAAAAACAGGTTAATTAAGCCAAAAAACTGACCTGGCACCTAAAAGTCAGTTAAGTCAGCAGCTAAGAATCTGCACAGCTTAGGCTAGAAAGCCAGGCTCCAGAGCTGAGAGCTGTAACAGACTCGAATTATAGCCTCTAGTGGTCAGGCACACATGAAGACAGAGATCTTCGAGGTTATAGAGCCCTCCAGGCTACGCAGGACAAGTGCAGCAGAAGGTCTGAGTTCAAGGATGTGCTCAGGAATCTTTAGTCTCAACTTCTGCATTGAAGTAGTGACATATAGTCAGATGTGAGACAGTCATATGTGACACAGTAGTCACATGCAAGTGACTTTTTTCAAACTTGTTTAAGCATTTGCTATTTTATGCATTTTTGCATAAAATACTTTTTACACATTTTTTGCATATTTGCAATTTATGATTCAGTAACACAGCAAGAAAATTTAAAACAGTATGAAAACTAAAAAGTTTTGGCTAGCAGCAGAAAAATAGCACACAAGGCAGTTCAGCCTTCCTGGATGTAGGTCCTAAGAACAGAGGATTTCAATCTTCATTCATCATGTTTATAGCTGATCCTCTCTTATTAGCAGGCTTTGACAAGCTTATAAGGAGGGAGCTCCTGATTATACTCTCATTGCCTAAGAAAAAGAAATGAAGCCCCCTAACTAGCACCAAAAAAAGGTTTGAAGGTGAGTGCACGATATGGCTCCACACCGGAATGGTGAACAGCCAAACCCAACACGTAATCTATTTATACACCATGTTTTCCGGCACAAGTTTCCCTTTTCTTTCAAACATCGAAATTCAGCAGGTGTCATTTCTAGCTCACAACAGTCTAAGTCCGTAAGTCCTTCCATCACACACCAACCAGCCATAGTCAAGTGCATGCACGCCAATGAAAGGATTCATTCACCCACATCCGAGAGCTGAGCTACTACTGCTGTTTCTGTGGGAGTGTGCATATGCATATCCCTCCATATGCAACCACTGTGCAGGTTTCAACAGCACAAAATTGCTGAGAGCGTTCCCTGCAATGGGGTGGTCCCCGCTGTCCCACCACGATGCCCCTGGGGCAGGGCTGGAGGCAGTCACCACCCCAACAAGGCAGCGGGGCTGGGCAGACAGGCAAAAGTCCCAGCGCCTTACGACCAGAAATCGTAGGGCTCTAGGCAGTACTCATGTAGGGTCTATAGCTTACAGATCTCTCCTGCTAAATCTGTCTTTTATCTGAGCTGGACTTTCAGCACAACACCAATTAAAAAAAAAAAAAAAAAATCTAAAAATGCAACACCAGTTCTTAAACCTTGTGTCTAACACCAGAGGAAGGTATGTCTTCTCCTGAAATAGAAATGAAAGCAGTACCTGGATCGTGGTCTGGCTTTAAGTGCATTAGATTCCTGAGCAGCTGAAACAGAGAAAAAAAAAAAACAACACTAAAACATCATATTTTAAATAAACACCTTTAGCTGAAGGATCAGTGTTCATTGAAAATGTGAGTGTTGCAAATGTGGATGTGAGAGTGTGTTCATCTCACATGAGAAACGGGGATTGATTTTCGCTTCTCCTTCCCCTTTGTTTTTGTAGTGTGTCCTAAGAATGTGTAGAATGTCCTAAGAATTCAAAAGCCCACATTTAGGCAGACCTTCACCTGTTAATTTGGTTACCAGAACACAGGAAACGCAATAAGTCTGACAGCTCTGACCTGTACTCCTGCGTGTAGTTGTGACAAAGCAACATAAGGAATAGCATAAACTTTCCACAGAAAACATCTTACTCCTAGCCCAGATATGTATTAGCTGTCCTGCTTCCCAAAGCACGAAGGTTTATGTCCTTCCTACATACTTTAACTAATTAGTATAAACATACATCTTCTTACCACACAAAAAACCAAAATTAACACATCAGGTTGAGACTACTTTGACATTGGGAAGGAAAGATATTTGAAGGTAAAAAGCTTTCCAGGCTAAATGTTCATCAAACACATTTCTAACAATGTAAAAATTGGTTTCTTTTATTTGGATGAATTCCAAATATCCTGCCACATGCAGGTTTTATGTGACAGGAAAACAACAATGCTGACTTACCTTCTCTGGGTAATTCCTCGAGGCTGTTCCTTGGTTTACATAGTCTTTTTGTGACTTTTCTGTTACTCTCCTTGCTAACATCAGATAATTTTGAGAAAACGTATCTGTGTGATTGCTTTCAAATTCAGCCCACTGAGATATCCTCGTACTACAGCAGCATCAATGATACCAATGCACACACAAAGTGAATCCTTGTACTTTTCCCATTCTGCTAATCAAGGTACAACACTTAAGAGAAGCAAGTAGGTTGGGGAAAAAAAAAACAATTCTCAGAGTTTCTAGCTTCCTTCAGATATATGCCTACTCCAAAGTCAGACATTTATCACCAGCTACTATACAGCACTACTTGAGAATATAACAGATCCCCCAAAACACAGAGCAGGAGCTACCTGTGGTAGCAGCTGGCAAATACTGACTTTATAATGGCTTGCATTGTACTACTGCATAGACCCTCCATAGGAGGCTTTAGGCTCACAGAAGACAAGAAGCAGCATATGGCACATGTATTAGCCACACACTATTTCTTCATAAAAGAAACTGCTTTTAAGGTCATGCAGTGCTAGTTGGTGCTTTGGATGGAATAAACCCAAATGTAGCTGGCAGTGACACAAAAAACCACTTATAAACCAAGTTCTAGTAGATTATTGTCACCAGCAAATTGGCCCACAGTCATTCCAGATTTCTGTGCAACAAACTCTTCCTAGCAACTAAAGGGGAGAGGAAACTATTATTAAAATATGCAGTGGTGATAATCCTTCTCTCTCTCTGTCAAACTCCCAGAGAATACAACTTTAGAAACTGCTTCCCTACAGCCACATGACCCAATTTTTCCAATGCTGAAAATGCTGATTATTAAATTACATGCATAATTATTAAATATATGCCACTTAGAAATAGGAAGTATAAATCCTTTCCAAGCTAAGCCATGTTTAAGAACCTTCAAATTTTCCTTCTTTTATGGAGACCGTAATTCTGTTCATACTTCTTTTAGAAAGCCTTTCTTCTAAAAATCTGCAGGTGAAACTGACATCCAAACTCCCCGAGGACATCTTGTTGAGGTAAACAGGAAAGCATACAAGGAAGAGAGAATCCTGAAATGACTACTAATAAAAAAGAATAGCAATAGAATACTACTGCCAAGGATTTTCTTTTAAGCTTTTGAAAAATCAGGAAATTCAAGGTTACAATTACAAAATACCCAGACTTAGTTTTACCTTTCAAAAGAAGTCTAATATAAAAAAATATTATAAAGCAGGTAGTTCATTATTAGGACATACAAATAATTGTGACAGGCTTTCCATAAAATGTGCAGTTATTTTGGTACGCTCAGTCTGTGCGACTTTGTGTTTGAGATGCAGGTTTATAAACACACACAACATAATCATTCAAGACTATACAAAACTATTTATCCAGTTCATGAATTTTCCGTATTTCTATTGCTATGGATACATAAGCCTCACTTACATGAAACTGATATAAAATTAAAGCTGTTGAGTAAATTAATTACATTTATTATTTAAAAGTTTGTACAATTCCTGGAGTAGTAGAGCCTGATGAACTGAACAGCCTGGTCTGCACTAATTAAAATCACATACAATGATGAACTCTTATTTATTCATTCACATCATAGGAGACTGTGAAGGCTCCTGTTTTGGGTGTTTAACTGCTCCCACCCCCCTCTCCCAATACAACTTAATTTAGACATTCCTAAGGATGCAGGCTCAGTAACTTTTGGCTGTAGCCTGACGACTTATACTCAGCTGGTGCCTCCTTGCTTTACAGGCTGATAATCGGATAGAAAACTGTACTATAAAAGGTGCAAGTGTGCTACACTGCTAAGGAAAAAACAAAGAATTCCCCACTAGTTTAAATCACCCACGCTGACTCATCTATTACCTCTCATTGGTGGCCTAGGCAGAAATGTACAATTTAAACGGTCACAAATTTGGCCCTTAATCCTTTAAATGTCTAAGGCCAACAATGGTCTTGCACTTATGAGCCTACATAAACTGGCCAGACATTCGGACATGCTGAGCATATAAAGTTTTTACTAACTTCAAATTTCTAGTCCTCCTGATGGCAAAGAAAACTTTCCCATAATGAACCACAGCAACATCATCTTTTCCTGAATTTACATAAACAGCCCAAACCGATAACCACAGCAGGATGTAAAATTTCTCCCGCTTCATCCCAACTGAGTTTTCATCCTGAAGGTTAATGATTACAATGACCTTTCAGAATGATGACCAGTTCCAAAATAACCACTCAATTACTGTGCTGTATCTAGCCCACTGCATAAACATTTTTACTTCTAACATCAGTCACATCATGCAACCTGAGAATGTGCTTGCTCAAACCCTCAATGTGCAGGACAGCGAGGGTGAAACCCCTACAGTGACAGGACTCATGGCGATGGGGTGAAACTCTGCCACTGTCTCCCTTGGTATACAAACACAGCAACGCTGCTGGAGGAGCACAGCAACATCCAGAAGACCTCCCTGACTTGGAGATGAAGGACATGGGGGAAAGAGGACAGTGGCAGAGGAGATGTGCAGGTGACAATAGTTTTTTTTCCTAAGTGTACCGAAGATGGAATTGCTGAACTGAAAATAAAACTGCCTGGGGCACTCCTGGGCAAAATGGTGGGGAAGAGAACAGAACTGAAAGTCTCGCAACCACCCTCCTCTCCCCCTGAGAGGGAAGTGTAAGAGTGCGTGTGTGTGAAGGAGAAGCAGCAATCATTCGAGAATGGGAGCTGAAGATAGGAAATCTGGCAGCTGCCAAGTGTTTGGGAAGACGCCAGGAAAAAAAGAGTTGGGAAATGAGGCATGCAGCTGTTGAGCAGCCATAAATAAATCGAGCTATAAGACAAAACTGCTGTGACAGACACGTGGGGTCAGTTTTCTTAATCAAGGATATCTTCACAAGTAAAAACATTTATGCAAAAGGAAAAGAAAGCAAGTCCAGACTTTAGCTTGACTGGGACTAGGGAGGGCTTGCAAACACTCTTACCACTCTAGGAAAGAGATTAACAAAGAGGAAGGCAAGGGAGGTCTGATGAACTGAACTGAATGCATGGGAACTTTCTGGAGCAACTAAGCAATTTTGACATATGCCATTCCAGAAATAACACTTTCCAGTATGATAGGAACAAGGAGTGTATGTTGGAGTTGGAGAGAGAAAAATCAGGGGTGGTTTCAACACAGAAACGCCCCCCCCGAACCAAAAGCTTACATTAGTGCTGTAAGTGCCACAAGGTCTGTGTTTCCAAAAGGCTATCTACCCTTAAACTCCTTGACAGAAGATATGAAAGCTCAGTTTTTACAAAGAAACAGGCCACATCAGAATAGTTACTGAATACTTATTCCATACTTGAGAAGAGCTTTTATCAAGAGGTACAATATTCTGCTCTGGCATCTCATTTGTAGTACAGAAAAACAAAATTCAGACTGCTTACCAAATGCTATGTTAAAAATACTTCCCACACATGAAGAATGCACATATGCTAACAACAAGGGAAAGAAAGCAAGAAAACCTTTGGACAACCTGAAGTACTAATTAATTTTGCAAGTAGTAGTCATTATGAGGTAAAAGCTAATTTCGGTAGTAAAATAGTATGAGAGCAAAAGGATCTTAAAAAAAATTAATCAAGTTACATTAATTTAGGCTTACTGTGATATAAAAATATTTGATCAAAATTCTAATGGAAGTAACGTCAATTTTTTTCTTCTTACCTGTTTTCACAGTCAAGTGCTGAAATTCCTTTGGTATCGTTTTGAGAGCAGTGCTTACTTTAAGAGCTTAATAAAAAAAAACCAAAACAACGAAAATTACTTTAAGTATTTGCAGGTAAAATCTACAGGTATCAGCTCTGAGAAAGAAGCATCTAAACCAGTATTAGTTAGAACGTCTAATAATGGTAAACATACTCGAAAAGAAAACAGAAGTAGCCAAATACCCTCAGAACACCCAAGCACTCAAAAAAGTAACAACTGTTAAAGAGCACAAGAGTTAAGAACAGAAAGACCTATGCCCAAATTGCCAAATAATACCTTGTAGCATATTTTAATGTACTGTAATACACAGTATTATAAATGACCACTTGGAATGAAGTCTCTCATCTCCATCTGCCTTTATCAAATAAAACGTGGGAAAAGTCTGGTTCTCATGATCCAGTTCTATTTACATTATCTTCCACATTTAACTATATTAAAACCTGGCAGAGTGGAGCTAATTTAGTTGTATAGTTTTGAAAACGCAGGAGAATTTGCTTCGAGTCCTGAACTACAGGTTGTTTACTTCTAGGGAGATCTCCTCAGTCAGGAGAGTTATCTGCTCTTTCATCTGTCAGAATAGCAATAAATGGTAGAACAAGAGCACTTGTTCTTTGGCTGAAGAGGTAGGAATCCATGTCATAAATACAGCATATCTTCAGCCCTGAAGGACTGCATGTACCAAAGCAGCTTCCCATCTGACTTAAGATGTCAGCTACCAAGAGCAAAGCACAAGTTTTTCACCTACACAGGGAAGAAAAAAAGATTCCCCGAGTAAAAAGTAAATCTGCCCTAGAGACATGAAAGCAATAACCTTCAAGGTTCAAGTCCTGCTCTTGTCCATTACGAATTTTACAACAAAACAAACCTTGTCAACAAAACATGAATTTCTTGGAATATGCTGACTTGTCAAAATGTTTTACAAACACCTGTCAACTCTGACAACCCTTCTTTGAACCAGGGACACTGGGAATCTGCCAAACTCGGTCACACCTGGGTGTGGAAGGTGATTCAGGAATGTAGATTACCTGGTCTCACAGCTCTGATGCAACCTCAGCATGTGGACAGCTGGGAGGTCAAGATGTGTAATTTTTTTTTATTAATGTATAATCCACAGCTCTGAGAATAAGGCAACAAAATACCCACAACTGTTTTGTTTCCACAGAGAACCTGAAAGGTCAGGGAAAGGGCATGTAAAAGGGAATGACTGTGTGATGATCTAGCACCAATTCTGGAAGCCCTAGTAGCTGCTGAGTGGAAGAAGAAAAAGATCACTTCAATTTCACATGGCTTGCTGCTGATGGATTTCAAGGGAAATAAATGAATCGAGTCTTTTCAATCCAGTTTGTCCAAAACTTTTGTTTTGCAAGAAAATACAGGTTGGGAGTTTTTTAATAGGAATAAAAACTAATTTTGAAGTGTTGCTATTTCCTGCAAAAAGGGAAATCCAAAGTTTGGCACAATGTAGTCTTTACTCTTACAAAATTCCTGGTAACAACAATTACAACTTTGTTAAAATAAGAACTGCAACATTAATTGTCTTAGGGCTAGACATATTCTAGAAGGTGCATTTCATATCATTTGCATATGACAGAACTAATTTTCAAGCAAACACATCCATTTGTTTGTCTTCAACTCAGCTGCTGTCAATTATTTAAAAGCAATGTCTTGCTTTTAAATCCATAGCAACACATAGCCAGCTTAGAAATTAAAAATAGCATTGCTTCTGTCAGCAAATATATGGTATTACTAATAACACACAGAACTTAACCCATAACGGGGGGGGAGGGGGAAGTGATTTATTTGAATACCTTGTTTGTCATCTTTCTTTGTATCTTGTAACAGGGCAGAGTTATCAGGTACCTCTTCAGCTGTTGCCTTCTTAAAGAAAGAAGATGTATTTATCATACTGATTGGCATAGCACCCACATTTCTGCAGTCAAATATTTAATACAGACCAACACAAATACAGATCATATTCTCTCTTGCACCACGGTTTGCTTTGTAAAATAAAGAAGCATAGAGGACCTTCAAAAAGACAACTATAACTCTGCTTTCCAAGGTACAGCAGTTCCACACCTGAAATTAGTTTGAGAAGCACTTCAACAGTGACTCACAAGGAACTAAGGAATATATGTAAGGAGAGTTCTCACAACAGAGCAATGTCATTCTGTGTTTTCTTTTCTTTTTGGGTGTAACACCTGCGTTAGGGTTGAGGATACCTTCTCCAGCCCCTTCACAAGAGTCAGCCTCCATCACAGAATCATAGAATCAGTAAGGTTGGAAAAGACCTCTAAGATCATCGAGTCCAACCATCAACCCAACACCACCATGCCCACTAAACCATGTCCCTAAGCGCCGCATCTACACGTCTTTTAAATACTTCCAGGGATGGGGACTCCACCACTTCCCTG